GTCTGTGTGTGTTTATTGGAGGCAGTCGCCCCAACAACAACGGAGGGCGGAGGAGCGACGCTCACAACAACGAGCGGAGCGCCGGGTGGCTAAAGCAACAAGTTGGCACAGTAGGGCACAGGTGGTGCATCAGCCATCATCTCGGTCATCTCGGTCAGTCGACCAGTGGCACCTGGTCTGCCCCGTGACCTCCTGCCAGCGGGCTTTCGACACTTCACGTGGCCTCAAGGTGCACTTGGCCTGGCACAAGCATCGTGGTGACGTCACCGCCACTTAGTGGCGAATGGCGGTTGTTGTTGTTGTTGTTGTGTCTGTGTGTGTGTATTTGGAGGCAGTCGCCCTCCAACAACAACGGAGGGCGGAGGAGCGACGCTCACAACAACGAGCGGAGCGCCGGTGGCTAAAGCACAGCAAGTTGGTACAGTAGGGGCACAGGTGTGCATCAGCCAGTCGTCTCGGTCATCTCGGTCAGTCGACCCGTGGCACCTGCTGGGTCTGCCCCGTGACCTCCTGCCAGCGGGCGTTTGACACTTCACGTGGCAGCCTCAAGGTGCACTTGGCCTGGCACAAGCGTCGTGGTGACGTCACCGCCACTTAGTGGCGAATGGCGGTTGTTGTTGTTGTTACGTTTGTGCACAGTTTTATTTCTTAGCAGAACGATTTGGCCACGCCACATCCATTTCGACTCAGTTTGCCCTAAACGGGTCCATAGAGCCGTGCCTTCTCTTGCCCTACCAGGTCGCTGGAGAACACTCGATCCGACAACACAGGAGCTGTGCCCACAGGCCCCCTCCACGCCTCCACCATCACAGGAGGATCTGCTTTGTCCTTACACCGGCTCAATGCCTTCATAGGAGGTATGCAGTCAACAATGCTTGACTCAGGGAGGAGGACGCCCCTGCCGTGCATAGTCCCATGGGATGTTGGCTACCAACAACAAGGCAACTCCTACGACTAATTGGGAATGGGACGCAAGCGTAGGATTGATCGCCCTGTCGCTGGCCGCCTTTGGGGAGGGTGTATCGTGTGAAAGGCCGAAACATTCTAGGAACCAAAGGGTCACTACTGACGATGCGCTCCCCAAATGTCACCAGGCTCGCTGTTCGTGAACTCTTGGAAGTGCTTGCACAAAGGATAGTAACATCTCATCCTGTGTTCTTTGGAATCTTCATAGAGACGTCGTTCCGTGCACAAAAGTATTTGGAAACGTCGACTTTATTTTGACGACTGTGGGACATTACGTCTCTTGGACATGTACTGCAACTGGTAACACAATCAGAGGATTAGATATTCAACAGCAACCGTGACGTGCTTTTATTAGATAGCCTACATTGTAAAACACGTTACCAGACCTATACAAGTCGTATTTCGATTTAAAGCTTTCGTGACTGCAGGGATTCATCTTCTTGGTTCTTTCGGTAAAGTCACGTAGAAGGGAAATAATAAAATAAAACATAATAAAATAATTCTCACGACGCTGTCTTTCCGACAGACCTGTTTATTCACCTGAGGATGGCTGCTTGCGTTGTGGCCGAAACGTCGTGAGAATTGTTTTATTATGTTTTTTTTATTATTTACTACTTCCCTTCTACGTGACTTCACCGAAAGAACCAAGAAGATATACAAGTTGTGTTGCAGGCACGGAAATTACTGTTGTGATCATCCGTAAAGAATATAAGTGACGCAATTTTACTAGAACACCGCGATCAGACGTTTCAAAATCAATTGACCAACTCAGAAGATCCCTCTAAAGATATCCAGAAAGTTCTTCATTGCGTCCTCGGGATCTTCCTTCGGTCGAACACTAAAGCGTTGAACAATAAGGACCAGCATTACAATTAGTGCGTCAATTTAAAATCATCCTCACAGTAGGCCATAGTATTCGCCTTATAGACTCGACTTAGTAACCCGGGAAAGCATCGGTCAAACATTATATCAGTCCATAGGGGGCGACAATTCCTATTAATACAGTAAAGGTTTTTGTTTGGGTGAGATCGCATAAATGTGTCGTTAACCCAACATCAAATTTCGATTTAAAGCTTTCGTTACTGCAGGGATTCATCTTCTTGGTTCTTTCGGTAAAGTCACGTAGAATGGAAATAATAAAATAATAAAACATAATAGAATAATTCTCACGACGTTTCGGCCACAACGCAAGCAGCCGTCCTCAGGTGAAGACCAGGTCTATCGGGGAGACAGCGTCTACACTAGAATGAAACACATTCAGACGCTGTCTCCCCAACAGACCTGTTCTCCACCTGAGGACGGCTGCTTGCGTTGTGGCCGAAACGTCGTGAGAATTATTTCATTATGTTTTATTTTTATTATTTTATTACTTCCCTTCTACGTGACTTTACCGAAAGACCCAAGAAGATGAATCCCTGCAGTCACGAAAGCAGCTTTACATCGAAACGTGCCAATGAGTTAATGCTTCAGCCCACAATTGTGTAGCAGAGCAAATGCACCGATCTGTCTGCTGTCCGCCTGATGATGATGGTTGTGATCACTGGGCGAAACGTCGTACTCAGATTGTAGTGCACATTATCAGAGTTGTGTTTTTTGTTTGCATTATGACTGCATGTATTGTGGTCTATGCAAACATGACTCCTTGTAAAAAAGGTGTCAGTTTTGTTGCCAGATAGAAGGATAAAAAACAATTATCACAGATTGTAGATGTTGAGGATTTTCTCTCCCACACACTGGCTAGTGCTGCACTGGTGACGAATTGGCCACGTTCTGTTCACGTGACCAACCTTACCAGTTGGCCGTGTCGGGTGGTGGCGGGTTTAACGACACATTTCTATTTTTGCGATCTCATTTGCGAGAAGAAAAAATATCATTGTTTTTTTATCCTTTTATCTGGCAACAAAACTGAAAAAAGGTGTCAGTTTTGTTGCCAAAAAAAGGTAAAAAAACAATTATCATATCCAGGACAGTCCGCTAGATTCTAACCCCGAGACCTTTACAACGAGCGGGGGGAAAAAAACACGAGCGCTGGGGCAGGTGCCGTATAAGCACGTTAAGTACGACAACGCTGCACTCGTGTTTCGGGCCGTTGATGAAAGCGCTGGTTTCTCTCACCAAGTGGAGCTTGGAGACAAGAACATGCGACTTTTGGAACCGCCGCATGATTTCTCAGCGCATGCCACCTGGGATGTGAAACAAAGGCAAGAGCTTAAACATCATCCTCCAATCACGATCGCGTCAAAAACAAGAAGTCATCGTGGCGACAGCCGTTGACACCAGCAGACTTCTCCAAGCGAGGGAATAAGAAACAGAGGTCGCAAACGGGTTTTGATTCCTCACCCGTACCCGTACCCGGCCGCACCAGGGTCGTAAACGGCTACCCGTACCCTACCCGATACCCGGCTACCCGTACCCAGCTGGGTACGGGTAGGGTACGGGTATCGGGTACCCAATTGCGACCTCTGGGATGAAGCCACGTTGCAGGCGCGGGTGGGTTGATTCTAGGAACTTGAATTGTGAGAAGAGACAAGACGTTGGGAAATGAGTGACAAACGGTGACTCACCAGTGACTCACGGCCTACCCGTACCCGTACCCGACTGGGTACGGGTAGCCGGGTATCGGGTAGCGTACGGGTATCGGGTACCCGGTTGCGACCTCTGATAATAAATAAACAAGAAGAGAGTTGTTGTGACCAGCGGTGGAAGAGCGTGGATCAGATGAAACAGTCCGGTAAACCGAGCGCTCAACATATGTGTAAAAATCAACGGTTGAGGTTCAAGCTGAGAGTAGTCACAGCAGATAAGGCACAGAGTGATCAGGAGCTAACTGTTGTTCAATTCTACGAATAATCATAATCAGCAATGCCGTATTTGGAACTGAACCTCAGAGCGCGCGTGCGATCGCGGTTCATCGTGTCCTTACCGAACGTGCACATCAAATGTGGCGTTTGCATTTCCGTGTCCAGTCTGTGATGCAATTTTACCCGCTCGGAATTCGTCGGCAGAGGTTGACTGGCCCGTGCGACACGGGGCGGAACGACGGCTCGAACACGCCGCTCCTGGAGATTCCACTGCACATCAAGTCCTGAGCTTCTGTCGTCGTAAGTTCTCTTCTTACGGCTGTCATCCCTCTTGTCGACTCTGCACAACCGGAATGTGGCCACTATTTAGTATTCGTATTCTTAGGTTTTTTCGGTAAAATCACCGTGTAGGTAAAAACATTAAAAAGTAAAATAAAATAAAATCACGACGTTTCGGAGGCAACACAAGCTTCCGTCTTCAGGTGGAACCGTCACAGCCACGACAGCTGCATCAAGTAAATGAGAGATTGCAAGAGCTACCACTCCGTTTATATAATGGTTGGAGAGGGGGGGGGGTAAGGGCCAAGTACAGCACACTTTTTATTCATATGGTAAGGCGAGGCTTAATTTTAATGTTTTATCTACGTGACTTTACCGAAAAAACCTAAGAATATGAATCCTTGCAATCACGAAAGCTTCAAATCTAGAATTAACACTATTTAGTCGTCGTATTGGCGAACTACCTACGTACTCATCTTATTGGTTCTTTCGGTAAAGTCACGTAGAAGGGAAGTAATAAAATAATAAAAATAAAACATAACAAAATAAAATAATTATTATTTATTTATTATTATTTTTTTATTTTTATTTTTATTATTTATTATTTTCTTCCCCTACGTGACTTTACCGAAAGAACCAAGAAGATGAATCCATGCAGTCACGAAAAAAGCTTTAAATCGAAATTTACCTCCGTACTATTAACTAACACCAATTAATTTCGATTTAAAGCTTCTTTCGTGACTGCAGGGATTCATATTCTTGTCTCTGTCGGTAAAGTCACGTAGAAGGAAGATAATAAAATTATATAAATATAAAATAATAACATTTCTCACGACGTTTCGACTGCAACACAAGCAATCATCATCAGGTGTGAAATCCACGGCAAGAAAATAAAAAAATTAAAAAAATTAATGCGGTGGCTTTCACACCTGATGATGATTGCTTGTGTTGCAGTCGAAACGTCGTGAGAATTTTTTATTGTTTTATATTTATATGATTTTATCTGAGGTGTGGACTCGAGTCATGTGACTTGGACTCGAGTCAGACTCGAGTCATGAATTTGATGACTTCAGACTCGACTTGGACTTGCATAACAATGACTTTGTCCCACCTCTGAGCTGGTGTGGACTCGAGTCATGTGACTTGGACTCGAGTCAGACTCGAGTCATGAATTTGATGACTTCAGACTCGACTTGGACTTGCATAACAATGACTTTGTCCCACCTCTGAGCTGGTGTGGACTCGAGTCATGTGACTTGGACTCGAGTCAGACTCGAGTCATGAATTTGATGACTTCAGACTCGACTTGGACTTGCATAACAATGACTTTGTCCCACCTCTGAGCTGGTGTGGACTCGAGTCATGTGACTTGGACTCGAGTCAACTCGAGTCATGA